AGGTGCACTGTACATACTATGTGGGTACTTTTATCAGACCAGGGGTATTTTGAATGACTCTTACAGCTGTAGAAATTAAAGTGACCTCTTACATAGCTGATTCAAACACAAAACCAAGTTTCATTTCTTTGACAATGTCAGGTTTAAAATCCTGGGATGGGAGTTGACTGATTTAGCTTAGATCACTTGTCCACCCTGTGGTGGGGAGTTGGGACTGTTAATAGAAGAAGGGGAATGGGAAAGTGAACAAAAAGACAAATAATAGTAACCACATCCCACTGGTCTAAATAGCAAATATTCATTCTCCTTAAAATAACTCTAAGCCCCTCACTTCCTCTCTATGCCTTGCCTTGGTAAGTCCACTTTCTTTAAGGCATCTTTTGGTAAAACGAAGTCCTCAGTCCTCTGGCTTCTGGCTTCTACACTTTACCATGAAAATGACCACCATTGTTACTCTCAAAGTTTACCAGTGATTTCTCATATTATAAATATTATGTTTTTTTAATTGAGATACAATTGACACATGTTGTCTTTTTAAGTGAGATACAATTGACATCCTGTTAGTCTTAGGTATCCAACACAATGATTTGATATGTGTATATATTATGAAGCGAATCATTATGAATGATTTGATATATGTATATAAAATGAACTTAACCACAGTTAAGTTTAGTTAACATCCATTACCACACATAGTTATAAATTTTATTTCTTGTGATGAGATCTACTCTCTTAGCAATTTTAAAATATGTAAGACAGTATTGTAAACTAGTCACCATGCTGTGCATTACATTTCTAGGACTTTATTATCTTATAAATGGAAGTTTGTACTTTCTGACTTCCTTCACCTATTTTGTCCACCCCCATTCCCTCGTATGATAGTGGTTTTTCAAGCAGCTCATCCCTGCTGACATCTCTCAAACATCAAATATTTCTTGCAACTCCATCCTCTCTTGTCATCTTTGACTCATTTTTCTTCTTTATTTCTAAAGTGTACCTGTTTCCACCATCACCTCCCCTTCCTGTTCCCTTTTTACCTTATTAGCAAACTTCTTCTCTAAAAGACTAGCTACTAAATAGTTTAGGCTTTGTGGACCATACACCTTCTGTCACGTACTCAGCTCTGTCATTATAAGATGAGAGCAGCCATAAACAATGGAGCATGGCTGTGTTCCAGTAAAACTTTATTTACAAAAACAGTGGGCTGGATCATAGTTTGCCCATCCCTCATCTAGGACAGTCCTGAGAAAAGGAGACTGGGAGGTGAAGGTTGGGAACTTGCATGTCTGAAAACGTTCCTAGTCTACTGAAACATCCAGGATGACTGGGATAGAATTCTAAGGCAGAAAGAACTTCTCATAAGTTTGGAAGCAATGCTCAATTTTTTTCTGTCTTCTACAACACCTCATTTCCTTTAGCTCAGCTAGATCCACTAGCCTTCAGAGGTAAGGCTTTGCTTTGGCTTTTATTCAGGCTCACAGAGCTATTTTGCTCCATTAATAACATTTTTTTTAATTTCTAAAAAGAAAATCTATTTGAAGAAATTGACTATTATCTTTTCCAAAGTCTTTTCCCCAAAGAATACCTTTTCCTAGAATTTGATACCAGGAAAAGGGTTTGAATCTCAGGGAAACTTCTACACTGCCTTTATGAGGCAACAGGAATTAAGGAACTCATTGTGATTTATTTCTTGTCTTGATGGCCCATCAAGATAAAAAATTGCTTTAAACTCTCATGCCATATTCAATTCATTTGTCTACTCAGATTTTAATAAATGGAAATAAGTGTGAAGGAAAGGAGAAAGGGAAGGTAACTATTTTGGCAGCTATTGCAATATTCCAGATGAAAAGCAGTAGAGATGAAAAGTTGAATTTCAAATTCAAGAGACAATTCAAAGTCAGATGGGATATAGGGATTTAAGAACAGGAAGATCAATCCTGAGGTTTCCAGTTTAGAGAAGTGACAGAGCAGACAATCTTACTAACCAAGGTAGAGGGATAGGTTTCACGACTAGGGAAAAGCAAAGAAGATGGGTTTTGAATATGTTGAGCTGTCTTAGCAAACATTATTTATTCCCACTCCCCTCCCACCAACTTACTTTGTTTTTTTTAAACTGATGTATAATCGATTTAAAATGTAATGTTAATTTCTAGTGTATAGCATAGTAATTGAATATAGTTCCCTGTGCTGCACAGGAGGACCCTGTTGTTTATCTTTTTTAAATATAGTAGTTTTGTATCTGCAAATCCTAAACTCCCAATTTATTCCTCTATCCCCCTCCCCACTTTCCCCCTTGGTAACCATAATTTTGTTTTCTATGTCTGTAAGTCTGTTTCTGTTTTGTAAATAAGTTCATTTCTGTCCTTTTTAAGATTCCACCTATAAGTGATGTCATATGGTATTTTTCTTTCTCTGTCTGACTTACTTCACTTAGTATGATATTCTCTAGGTCCATCCATGTTGCTGCAATTGGCACTATTTTATTCTTCTTTATGGCTGAGTAGTATTCTGAAATATATATATATATACATACCACACACCATAACGTCTTTATCCAATCGTCTGTCAATGGGCATTTAGGTTGCTTCCATGTCTTGGCTGTTGTTAATAATGCTGCTGTAATCATTGGGGTGCATATATCTTTTTGAATTATAGTTTTCTCCAGATATATGCCCAAGAGTAAGATTGCTGGATCATATGGTAGGTCTATTTTTGTTTTTTTGAGGAATCTCCATACTGGTTTCCATAACGGCTGCACCAAACTCCTGCACCCTGCAGGAGTAGGGAGGGACGGGGTTTCAATTTTGTCAGTAAAGACAAAATCCAAGTTGTAAAGCAAATAGGAACACACCCAGCTGAGGTCAAAGCAAGGGTAATGTGTCTAAACCAGCAAGAACATCGTGACTTGGTAAGATCAAGATACTCAGAAAATCATTTGCCTACGTTGCAGCCTGCCCTTATCTCTTGTCACCAAGAGCATCAGGGGCCAGCCAATTGGGTCTCTGGGGGAAGACTGGTATTCAGTGTCTAGCAACCAACCAGCTCCAGGTATGAGAACTGACTTCTAGGTCATAAGTGCCTAGCATGTTTTATGGGGGTCCAGCTTTTGTATTCAGGGGCTCAAAGAATTGTTTAATTCCATGTCTCACCCAGAGAGAGATACTGTGACTCTGCCCAGATTACCTTTGGAACAAGATCTATGGGGCAGGGAAGATTTGCAGGCAAACAATACTGTACATACTATCAGCCAGGCACTATGTGCCAGGCACTGCTCCAGGGCCTGGAGAGTCTATCTCCATGGAACAAACCAGATACAAATCTTTATCCTTGTGGAATTGATATTTTAGTGAAAAAAAAAAAGAAAACCAGACCGTAAGTACTAAACAAGTAAATTAGAAAATTACAGGGTATGTTAGAACATGAAATAGGAGTAGGGAGGGATGGGGTTTCAATTTAAGTAGAGAGGTGGGAGAGCTTCATTGAGAAGATATGAAGGGGTAGGCGAGTGAGCTATATGGCTACCTGGGGGAAGAGTCAGAAGTGCCAGGCAGGTTGGAAGGAGAGGAGAGAGGAGGCCACTGTGACTAGAGCTGGAAAGTGGGGGAAGAGGTCAGGGAGGTTATGGGTGGTCAAATGCTGTAAAACTTTGGGTTTTTACTCTGGGTGAAATGTAAAGCCTTTGTAGAGTTTTCAATAAAGGAGGGTCATAATCTGTTTTTCGTTTTTTAAGCGTCTCCCTGGCTGCACTGCGTAAAAGAGACAAGAGAAGAAAAGTGAAATCAAGAAGCTATTGCAATTAACTAGGTGATGCGTGATAGCGGTTTGGACTACCACGGTGACAGGTGTGGAAGTCATAAAATTAATAGCTGTTTAATTCAAGTCGCAGCATTAATTATGAATTGCAATGAATGCAATGCAATTGCATTGAATATGCTACTGCGGTGGGTTTTTGGCAGCCAGGATTTCAGGAAGGGAGGAGGGAAGGATGGTTTGACGTTACCAAGGAAACAACATCATAGATCTGAAAAGCTAAGATGGTTCTAGGTCTTTAGGCCTCTGGCGCAGCAATAATTCTGCGGCTGAGCCCACCAGCCGCTTCCCAAGGACCATGCGCAACAGGCCAGGTTGGGAGCCTATGGAAAACACAGGACTTTTGCAAAGCGAGACAAGCGCATTCCGGGAATCGTAGTTCTGCGCCCCTGCGCAGGCGCTGTGAGCCCCTCCGCCAACTTGCGCGCGCAGCTCCTGCAGGACCAGCTTCTAGAAGCTCATTGCGGTGGCGTTGGTCCTGGCTGCACGTCCCGGTGCAGGTAGTGGTTTTCCCGGGCCCCTAGTTCGGGGGCCGCGGCCAGGTCGCTGGCTCCGAGGGTGCACCAGGGGCGGGGTGGGGGCCGAGGGCGGTCTCGCTGTGCACTCCCAACGCCGCGGCGTCTGCAGGAGGTGGGCGCGCTCCTGGATGGAGTTTTCCTCTATCCCGTCCCTGCGCCCATGGTCTCGCAACTTCGGTAGTTTGGTATTTTGGGCGGGAAAATTCATTGTGTGTGCGTTGTGGGGGGAGGCGGCTCTCCCGGGTATTGCGGGATGTTTCGCAGCATCCCTGGCTCCACTCTTGGGTATCAGTAGCATCTCTCGTTCCCGGTCTTGCTAACCGAAATGTCTTCAGACATTGCCAAACGTCCCCTGCGGGGCAAATCCCCCCTCCTCCCGGTCTGAGAACTTCTTTCTGCCTGCGTCACATTTTCTCGGAGCCGCTATTGTAAGCTCCTTGGAGACCCGGACGGGTATCTTAGCCACTGCAGAGTCCCAGGTGCCCGGTGCGGCGCCAGGTACGTGGTGGGCGCCTAATATTTGGCGGAGGAATAAATGACGTCATGCATAGTGTGTACGCGGCTCGGTGCTCCGAGATGGGTGATTACTGGTGTGATAGTTGCAGTCGGAGGAGGGGGTCCCCACTTGACGCCGTGTAGCACATCTCAGGCTGTGTTGTCATTTGCTGGGTGCTCTGTGAGAGTGGGGGCCCTGTCTGGACCTGTCCACGCCTGTCTCCGTAGTGCCCCATTCCCAGCTCATTGTTGATGGTAAGTCATTTGTGGAATGAGAGAAGGCACGTAACACAGGGCAGGCTGTGGGCAGAACAACACTCTGGGACCAGAGAAAGGCACATAGAAGAGGTGGCCGTTGAAAGGAGTCAAGTTTTAAAGAATGAGTAAGTTTGGTAGGAGAGGAAATGAAGGCAGCATGCCAACGAGAGGGAATGGCTCTGGGGCAAAGGTGGAAGGGGAGAGAGAGTTTCTGGGAATGCGGAGGTAGCCCTTTTATGGCTGCAGTGTCCATCAGGGGCAGCTAGAGCTCGAGATGAAGTCATCAGAGCAGGCTTTCCAGATGCTCATGCTTGGCTTCTGCGTTTGAATTTATTTTGAGACAGTGAGAGACTGATAGGACCCTATTTTGCAGATTAGAAGGACTCCTTATGCTGCAGTAGGAGACTGAACTGAAGAAGCCTGTTCTTAGGTAGTTTCAGTGGCAGAGAATGGAGAGCTTTGTAGGAAATAAAACCACCAGAACTTGGTTATTGATTATGCGAGAAACTGGCTGCTCACCTATGAATCAGGCTTCTGAGTTGAGCAACTGGTGGGGAATTGTGTGGCCATTCAGTGAGAGAGGCCAGCAGGTGAATAGGTTGGGACTGCAGCCTCTCGCAGCAGGGAGCCTTTTCTGATACGTTTTGCTTATGAGGTGCATTTAGTCTGGAGAAACTGTTTTCTTGGAGCATCCCTTTCATTACCCTTTAATAACTCCTCAGTGTTTCTCCTACAGAGAAAATTATTCTTTTCATATAATAGTTGGTCAGGGCTGTTCCGGCCCTCTGGGACTCTGTATGTCAGAATGAAACCAAGAACAGTGTTTTCAGGGTTAACAATTTCTTTCATTTACCTGATATCTTGTATTTCTTGACAGTTGCTGCAAGACAGTTTCTGCAAGTGAATCCTTGGAACACTTGATGTTTTGCTGTCCAGTGCCTCTTGGGGAACTGTGCTGATACTCAGAAGCCTAAAGGGGACTGGATTCCTGCTGGTGGTCCACATTGTGGGCTGCAGTAGGCAGCACGAGATGACAGCCATCTCCCCAGACCCTCAGACTCTGGTCTCAAGGGAACACATCAAGGTCCTAAGAATGGAGACTCCTGGGACTCAAGAAGCTACTCGAGGAGGAGACACTGCCGACTCAGAGTCTTTCAGACAGAGGTTCAGGTGGTTTTGTTACTCAGAAGTGGCTGGACCCAGAAAAGCCCTGAATCAGCTCTGGGAGCTTTGCGTTCAGTGGCTGAGACCAGACATCCACACGAAGGAACAGATTTTAGAGCTTCTGGTGTTTGAGCAGTTCCTGACCATTCTGCCCGGGGAGATCAGGATTTGGGTCAAGTCACAGCACCCTCAGAGCAGTGAGGAAGTGGTGACCCTAGTAGAGGATTTGACCCAAATGGCTGAAGAAAAGGAAGGTGAGATTTATAGTTGGAGGGAGGAAGTGGCAGAGGTCTCCTTAAGACAGGAAAGTAAACTCCCCAAAAGATAGTGGTTCATTGCTAAAGAGGGGTCCAAGTTTGGAGTTGGGACTGGATTTGAACTGGCTCTTCCTTTTACTGTGTGACGTTGGGCAAGCTACGAAACCTCTCAGAACTTTAATTTTGTAATCCGTAGAAAGGGATAATGAAACAAGATAAGATGTAACACTTGGTGGTTGCTCAAGAAATAGGAATTTCTTTCCCTTCACCCTTGGGCACCGGGACCTTAGAACCCAGGACAGAAAGAAATTATCTCAAAATGTTTGGAGTCACAACATATCCAGACCAGGTCTCAACTTTTTGCTCCAGTGTGTGTGCATTCACATGTTTCCAGAATGGGGCTGTCCACTATGTGCGATAATGGAAATGTGTTCTGCACTGTTCTGCACATCAAGTTAAGCATATAAAATGTGGCTAGTGCAAGTAAAGAATTGATTTTTTAAATTTAAATTCAAATAACCATTTGTGGCGAGTAACTCCCCTGTTGGATTGTGCAATTCCATAGCCTTAGGAGAACAGCTGACATATATTTTTGAAATTACATTACTAAACATTATTTATATAACATAAACTATGAATTATAATTATATAATTGTAAAATATTGATAAAAAGACTTTATGGTGGTGGATAGCCTTTTGAGGGCATGTGGTTCACCTTTTATAAAATCCCTTTAATGTGCTGCAAATATATACAGTATTTGTAGCGTGTTATTTACCATAAGGCTCTCACTACATGTGTGTGACTTTGTATTCTACCAAGAGTTCTGAGATGGATAAGGAAATAGTGTTTACCTCCACAGACTTAATTTGTGATCATACAGCTGATTGGTGGATCTAAAATTTGGATTTCCTGGCTCCTCTCCAACTCATCTCTCTCTACAATGTGATGCTTCTCAGAAATTAGAGCCTCTCTTTGGAGGTTCCAGCAGTAAAGAAGTTCATGAATTGATTGCTGTAGCTTTCTGTGAAATAGAACAATTTCTGTAAAATAATTCCTCTTTTACCCTTTTTTCCGCTCTTTTCTCTTTGATTATATAATTCTGATTCTTTTTTTTCACTCACATTTATTTCTGTTCATTTTATAAACACATTACATATACACATATATGTGTCTTAAAAATTTTTTTTCTATTAGCAAAGCCATTTTCATATTCTCTGAGAAAGAATCGTTCTATAAATCACTGGAGGACATAATTCTGATTCTTAACTTTTATTGATTGTCTAACCAGTCAGCTGCTTGAAATTTTTTAAATCATAAGAAAATGCCGTATGACTTTAATTAGAAGTGCTGTTGACATCTCAGGGTATTTATTTAATACATGTGGTTCTTATGTCCAGATTCCTCATTTCTGTCTTTAGGAGTTTACTGTGACCCCAAAAGTGGAGTCTGTTTTTGAGACCAGCTTGGTACTTTTATTCAATAAGTGTCTCCAATGCAAGGCATTGTGCTCAGATCATGAAGAAAACAAATTAATACATAAAACATAAACTGTTTTACCTTAACACAGCTTATAAATATGTTAAAAAATTATTATGAAAATCCATTTAAATCCATTAAAACCGTGGGTGTATGGAATGAATGAAATCAGTTTTGTTTCGTCTGACCTTTTTCTCCAGAGAAACATATCTAATGATTTCCAGTCTGAGGACTCCATTTGAAAGACTGGGTTGTTTTTTACCCCCTTCCTAGATCCAGTCTCTCAAGACTCTGTCATTTCCCAAGAGGAGAAGCCTGAAGAAGAGAAAACCATTTCTGTTCTTCCAAATACTGAGTCCCAGGTGAGTCTCCTTTTCATGGGTTTTCGTTCATTTTTTTTTTTTAACCATATGGTTTTATTTTTTAAGCTCATTTTTCAGTTGAGGCGTGATTGATACACAACTTTGTATTAGCTTCAGATATACAGCAGTATGAATCAGTATTTGTGCACATTGTGAAATGATCATCACAGTAAGTCTCATTAGCATCTGTCACCGTATATGGTACAAAGTTTTCATTCCGAAGTGAACACTTCGTTCCTCCTGAGTAGTATGAAGATGCTCGAATAATTAATTCAGCCTCCTTTTCCTCACAGTCTTCACATGCTCATAGTGCATTCTTCATATGCTATTTTACTTCAGTCATCAGAATTGATTGTAAGGCTGACTTTAATAGAAACAGAACTATTTACTAAAATTCAACAAGTATCCCTGATAAAATTGCTCTGGCAGAAATAAAATTACATTTCCTGAACATGGTAAGAAATGTCTCCAGCTGGACAGTGTTGGAAAATAAAAAGCAGCCCTCACAACGCCAGTGAGGAGGTAAGGATGTCTCACCTTACTGCTGGTAATGAGTGTTTTCTGAGTATTCCAGCCAGTGCAGTGTGATAAGGAAGAAATGAGGTAACTATTGGTATGAGAGAAGCAAATATATATTATTTACAGATAATACTGTCCTTTTGGAAAACCTCAGAGAATCAACTGAACATGTACTGAAACTCATATACTAGCTGAGAAGAGTAGCTGGTGACAACTCAGGAAGTTTCCCATATAACAGTGCTTATCAGAAAAAAAAATTCTTATTCACAGTGGAAAATAATAGTGCTGCAGTGGACTGATAGTGGCTCCCCAAAATATGTCCATTTCCTAATATCTGGAACCTGAGAATGTTACTTTATTTGGAAGAAAGGTCCTTGCAGATGTGATAAAATAAGGATTTGAAATGAGGAAATCATTCTGGCTTACATGGGTTGGGGCCTAAATGCCATCATAAGTGTGTTTATAAGAGAGAGACCAAGGCGAATTGAACACACAAACAGGAGGACGCGATGCGAAGATAGCAGCAATGGGGCCGTGGACCGAGGAATGCCAAGGAGGGCTGGCAGCCGAGAGGAGCTGGAGGAGCAAGAAACAGGTTCTGCCTCAGCCTCTGAAGGCAGATCAGCCCCACCAGTACCTAATTTTGAGACCTTTGGCCTTCAGACTTGTGGGAGAATAAATTTCTGCTCATCTAAGCCACCAGAGTTATGTTAATTTGTGACAGCACCCACAGGAAGCTCATCCTAGTGCTGGCAGCCACTCTGCTGTACTGCCTCTCAGAATGCCATGCACAGGATACTGTACAAAGTGTGTGTGTGTGTGTTTTTCTAATTGAAGTATAGTTGATGTACAATGTTGCGCTAGTTTCTGGTGTACAACATAGTGATTCAGAATATATATGTATATATATTCCTTTTTCATATTCTTTTCCATTACAGGTCGTTACAAGCTATTGAATGTAATTCCCTGTGCTGTACAGTAGGACCTTATTTATAGAAAGTGTATTTTAATGATTTATTGTGCTTATTTGTAATTTGGAGTGACTGTTAAGTGTGAGTATGTTATTAAACACAGATTGGTATTAAAAATATCACAGATTGTGATAAAAAATAATTGCTACTTATAACCAACTGGAAGTTAAAATTTGGAATGTAGTCACTGATATTACTCTTTTATATCTAATTGCCTTTGTAACTTAAACATTAATTCTGCAAATCTGGGTTTTGGGGATGTCATTTGTATCCTTCCTAGAAGTCAGTGTGTTGCATTGTTTAACATTAAACATCCCAGAGAATCCTTGTACAGCATTTTGCACCAGGGACTACGTGGACAAGGCTGGGGTTGTATCATAATCTTGTTCTGAATCACTTGTAATAGTAACTACCTTGTGATTTGCTTTGGAATTCTGAAGAACTTGAATACTATCAAATTACAACTTTATATCCTAATCCTTTCTCTGAATTTCTTAGATCTATTTGGGAATAACCTAATGTGAAAAGACTGTCTTTGGTGTTATAGGAATCCGTGACACTCAAGGATGTGGCTGTGACCTTTTCCAGAGGAGAGTGGAGGAGGCTGGAACCTTTTCAGAAGGAGATATACAAGGAGGTGCTGCTGGAGAACTTCCGGAACCTAGAATTTCTGGGTAAAGACATCTTTTCTTCATGCTCTACCGTCTAGGCTGGGTGTCTTTTGTCTGCCATTGTTGAAAGATGAGTGCTGTTCACTGTTGGCTGGGCTTGCAGGGGTGATACGACTAATCCTAAAAATGGGGAAAATGGGTCCTAAAAATGTACTTTTCTGCAGTGTTTTCTCCAAAAAAAAAAAGAGTCTTTGCTTCATTGAGCTGGAAATGTTGCGCATCATTTTGCTGTCTTCAAGACCATCCCTTCCCCAGTTCTCTCCTCCAGCTCCAGTACTGAAGTCTGTATTTGACAGCCGCTTCTCTTCCCTGGAGAACTAGAGGCTGCGAATGTTGGAACGTCTTTGTTCCAGGGAAAAACGGCCATTTTCTGTTCTTTTCTCCATGGGCAGGCTTTCCAGTTTCCAAATTAGATCTGGTTTCCCAGCTAAAGTGGGCTGGACTCCCTCGGCTGCTACAGAAGGAAGTCTCAAAGCGCTCCAAACCAGGTGAGTTGGTGAAGAGCAGAGGAGGAAGTGGAACCAGTTGCTTCCTGAGTCCTTTGGAAGAGCTCCTGAAATGCTGGGTGTCTAGGTGCTGACGCAGAAAGGCAGCAGAATGTACGCCTTACCTTTCTGGACTGTTCACTTGGAACAGGGGAGACTGTTAGCTTGGGTCCTCTGTCAGGTAGATGCCATATATCCTTAATGTCAGAGACTAACTGGGGAGAATTCCAGTGAAGGGAAGTGGGGAGGGAACTGGAAGGGGCTGGGAAGGCTGTCTGCGCACTGTGCAGGTCTGATACCTGTGATGGGAGAGGGAAGGAAAGGAGGTTGGGTAGGAAGAGTCTAGATTCAGGTGCAGTTTAAGAAGGTTTTGGCAAAACCAGAGAAGAGTCTTCCCACCAGAGTCACCTGTCAGAGTTGTCTGCCTCACAGAAACGGTCCTACGTGTCCTTGCTGTGCTGGTCATGACCGGGAGCCCCTGTGGGAAAGTGGTCTTGAAGTGAGTGACATGGTGGGGTCACTGAGCCACAGCAGGGGCTGCAGGGTAGGCGCCCCAGAGGAGGGGCTCTGAGAGGTGTGTTTTTAGGGACGCCGCAGACACAGACATCAGAACAGAAAGTGTAGGTGATGGATGTGAGCCATGACAGTGGCATGTGTGCAAGCAGTGGGAAGATGGAGGAGCAAGGGCTTGATTAATTTTTGAATTAAATCTTGGAGGATAAGTAGGAATTCGTCCAATGGACACTGTGTATAGTATCATCCAATTTTATCAAAAGGAGAAAAATGTACACATACATGCACCTGTTTAAATGTGTGGATATAAATGGGTTTTTAGTACGTGGAGAACATTCACGTTAACACTGGTTATCTTTGAGGGATGACATCTTTTCTTTATTCTTCCCTTTCTTAAACTTTAACGATGAACACTAAATTTGTATTTTTAAAAGTTAAAATAAATTATTGTTCATATATCCATAGAAGTATTTGAAGGAAAAAAACCCCAGTAATTGCTTACCAAGCTCCACAGTTTGTCCAGGTTGACATTTGGGCAGAAGCTCTGGCGCCTCATTAGGTGGTACCACCTTAGACCAGCTTTCCCACAGCAACCTGGGTGATATTTGTTGAGATTGATGCTGTGGTGACCCATGCAACCAGCCTTACCCTGGCCTCCCAGATGCTTCCTGTGTTGGCTGATGTGGCCGTGGCTCACGTGGACCCCAGGATTCCGGGTTGTAGTCTGGATGGCATTTGGTGACTGAGACCAAGGAGGGAGTCCTCCACGAAGTCTTGAGAGCTATCCAGGGCTTCGTATTTCATAATTCTCTGGTTAAAAATATAGTTGTATCACAGTGACACTGTAATCTCATGATTAAGAGCCAGGGTGAGCGATGTGGTTAATAAATGAATCGAGGGTTCTGAGAGGAGCATGAACCTTGCGAGTATAATTCTGGACACTGGGGGGCTCAGACCTCGGCCCTATCAAATTTATATTTGTGATCATGAAAGTGCTGTGGGATTGGATTCTAGGCAGTGTCAAGTGTTAAGGCTAAAGGGACAAGATTGAAATTGCTGTCATGTAGTAGGGACGGTAAGTGGATGCCCAGTCAGAGTGTCCCCAAGGTTGGTAGGGCCAGATTGTGGTAACCTGTGAAAGTCTAGTGCAGGTGTGTTGCGTATCTGTGACGTGATGAGCACTTTCTATAAACTTAGAGCTGTTTGCCTGCTTGGAGGAGAGGCAGTATGGTGGAGGGAGCAGAAATGTGGGCTTTGGTGTCAGACTGGGTTAAAAATCTGGCTTTACCACTTAAAGCACCTGTGACCTTGGGCAAGACACTTAAACTCTGTCTGCCCAGTTGTCACCTCCATAAAGCAGGGATAATAATAGGACCTATTTCATAGGGTTATTGTGGAAATTAAGTGAAATACGAGGAAAAGTGCTTGGTATGGGACCTGGCGTTTGGTAATTATTCTGTAGATGTTTGCACTGTCATGATTATTATTTGGAAAGAGAGTGGATTGGATGTAAGGAGGATAACTTTGAACCTATTATAGAAATTTGAAATGAGAGTGAGAACTTGCATCTCTAAATGTAAAACACTAACTTTTCATCTTCCTCAGTGTTTTTCCTTAAGTCTAAGTTTACGTAGCTTCCCCGTGTCACTTCCCCTTCCCTGTTTTCTGAGACTCCAATTGAGACTTGTCCAAGCCCCGTTCTTACTGTCTCTGTTCCTATTTCAGTCCCAAATACAGCAGCTTCCTTTCTTGCAAACAGGAAATATTCTCTGTTACTTCTTTCAGAATGTGAACTGAGCGGTGAGTTGAAGGAGTCTGGTGGAAATCAAGATGTTCTTGTGGAAGAATCAACTTTAGATAAAATAATAGAAAGATATCTGATGGGTGGTGATGATGACTCGATGGGAGAACCCTGGGGCAGACTAGAGGAGGATCGTGGTCATAAGGGGCACTCACAAAAGAAAACTCATGGGAGAGGCAGTAAGGGGGAGGAATTTGACCCAGAAAAGAGCCCCTTTGGAAGTAATTTCAAACCACCTTCAGACCTCATTAAACATCTGAGAGTCTACTTAAGGAAGAAGAGGTATAACGAATGCAAGAAACCCTTCAGCTTCCACTCTGACCTTGTTCCGAACCGCAAAGAACATGGTGGAGAAAAGTCTCGGAAATGTAACGAAGGCAGGAAGGCCCTGAGTCATGCTTCATCTCTGACTGAGCATCAGAAACATCAGAAAAGGTATTCGGCGGAGAAGACCCAGAAGTGCAGTAGCTGTGGGATAGACTTCATTCAGAGCCCAGCCCTCAGGAAGAAGAAGAACTCAACGTGCGAGAAGTGTCGGAAAGCTTTAAGTCGAGATGCAACCTTAGAGAAGGACGAGGGGCCCGAGGCTGGAGACAAAACCCATAAATGCAGCAAATGTGGAAAAGCCTTCGGCTACAGTGCCTCCCTGACCAAGCACAGGAGAATTCACACTGGGGAGAAGCCGTATATGTGCAATGAGTGTGGGAAAGCATTCAGTGACAGTTCATCGCTCACGCCCCATCACCGAACCCACAGTGGGGAGAAACCCTTCAAATGTGACGACTGTGGAAAATCCTTCACCCTGAGTGCCCACCTCATTAAACATCAGAGGGTGCACACTGGAGAGAAACCCTACAAATGCAAGGAGTGTGGGAGGCCCTTCAGCGACAGTTCATCTCTCATTCAGCATCAGCGAATTCACACCGGAGAGAAGCCCTACACGTGCAACAACTGTGGGAAATCCTTCAGCCACAGCTCATCCCTTTCCAAACATCAGAGAATTCACACGGGAGAGAAACCCTACAAGTGTGGTGAGTGTGGGAAAGCCTTCAGACAGAACTCTTGCCTTACCCGCCATCAGAGGATTCACACCGGCGAAAAACCGTACCTGTGTAACGATTGTGGGATGACTTTTAGCCACTTCACGTCTGTCATCTATCATCAGAGGCTTCATTCGGGAGAAAAACCCTACAAGTGCACCCAGTGTGAGAAAGCCTTCCCTACCCACTCGCTCCTTAGCCGTCATCAGAGGATTCATACGGGCGTAAAGCCTTACAAGTGTAAAGACTGTGGGAAGTCCTTCAGCCAGAGCTCGTCTCTTAACGAACATCATCGGATTCATACTGGAGAGAAACCCTACGAGTGTAACTACTGCGGGGCGACCTTCAGCCGCAGCTCGATCCTTGTAGAACACCTGAAAATCCACACCGGGAGGAGAGAATACGAATGCAACGAATGCGAGAAGACGTTTAAAAGTAATTCCGGCCTCATCAGGCATCGGGGATTTCACTCTGCAGAGTAATTCTTGGGGTGTAGGAAGGTGGGGGGAAGTTTGGTCGAAATTGTCTCATTATAAACCTGGGGAAGAAACTACCCCACCATTGACTAGTAGGAAATTTAGTCAAAATCGTCCCTTATTCAAAAGCAGGGGTGTAAAGTACCCCAGCGTTGATAAGCAGCTGCAGATTTGCCGGGCTGGCAGCTAGGAAAAATACTTTTTTTCTCGGTCACCCCTCTTCTCCCCGAGAATGTCAACTTTAGTTAGATAGTGATGAGGGCTGGTAAAGACACATGGTAAGAGAAGAAAGTGGTATGAGATGTGAAATGATTTGAAAAGGCCAAATGTGAGTTTAAAAAGCAGGGGAGGGGAGCATGGGACCCACCTTACTGACCTCTTTTCTCCAGGTTTCCTTCTCCCCTGCTTCCCC